CCGGGCTGGGGATTTGAACCTGCTACCTTAGGTGTACGTGGCTGGCGCCTTAGCCGGTTGAGCTATAGGCACCGAGCCATTCCTAACAATCTTAATATTGATGACCATATGTAAATTTCTATCCCAGATATTTCTGCTTAATGCCAAAAGTAAATAAATTATTGCCTACAAGTAACCTCTACTTGTTAAATACCACAGACACCTAAAACATACCTACAATGAATTAAATCATCTTCCCACCCTCCTATGTTCCCTGCTCAGAGAAGGGAATCATCCATTTTCCATCCAGTTCATCCATTATCAACCTAGTCACTTAAGCTACAAACTTGAATAATACCCGTAATTTGCTTCTCACTCTCATTCCCCAAGAGCAACTGATTCACCAAATTCTGTCATATCTGAATTCAATCCTCAATTCTCTCAAATCTACCTACTTCTTTTTAACATTATCCTACTTTCTCTCAGGACCACTACTCCAGATTACTAGAATGCAATGACATCCAAACCAGTCTAACGCCAGCCTTTCTTTCTAAATACATCATAGCCTGAGTTTATATCCAGATCTATAAATCTGAGCATGAGATTAAGAAGTTACAATAATAGCCCAATTATGTATCATGGCTTATAGTGCCTTATCTCTCATAATTTTCTTGGCCTCACTTCCTACTTGTTATAGATTCTAGTAACATTGAAATGGAAAAACCTAAGTACCACATATAAACATACATATCAAAACATTAATTATTGGTTGTATATGAATTTTCTACTTTTATCATAGGTTGCTTTAGAAACAAGTAAAAATACAAAAAGAAAAAAATGCTTCTGGAAAAACATTGACAAAACTTACTGATTTATCAATGTTCATTGGATCAACATCAGCCAAGCTTGCACCCACTTTCACCCGTTCTCGAAGAATGCCACTAGCTAAGTCTTCTGCTCTGAAGTTCATAGGCAAACATCTGAAATTTATAAAAATGTGAGTAAAATAGCACATTTTAATCTTTTTTTCTCATAACCCAGAAAATAACAGCAAAGGATTTCATATTTTGAAGCCATCTTTCCTAAATTCTTTAACTAAACAAAAATTAAGTTATTCACTAGATAAAACAAACAAAATAATTAATGTTTGCCCAAAGAGTTCAATCTATTTCAATATAGGAAATCTTATACCTGATATCCTATATTATACAACTACAAAATAAAAATAGCTCTATAGGGTGGTGCCTGTGACTCAGTGAGTAGAGCGCCGGCCCCATATTTCAAAGGTGGCAGGTTCAAACCCTGCCCCAGCCAAACTGCAACAAAAAATAGTGAGGCGCTCCCTCTCGCTCTTCTCTACTCTCTCTTCTCTTCCCCACTCTCTCCTCATGTCTCTCCCCTCTTTTATCTCTCCTCCTTGGTGCTGCTCTGCAGCCTCCCTCCTCCACCAATAAAGACCTTTCTTACAAAAAAAAAAAAAAAATAGTGAGGCGTTGTTGCAGGCACCTGTAGTCCCAGCTACTCAGGAGGCTGAGGCAAGAGAATCACCTAAACCCAAGAGCTGGAGATCGCTGTGAGCTGTGACACCACAGCACTCTACCAAGGGTGACAAAGTAAGACTCTGTCTATAGATACTGTAGTAAGATCAAGCTTTACTGTAATACTTAAATTTAGCCTCAAAGCATGGACAGACATATCTACACAGTTTACATGATTGAAAATATTTTCTTTCCCTTTTGTTCAAAGGAAATCAATTTTGATCACAGTCTAAGAAATAAGCTTTATCCTTTAAGTAACTACCTTGAAAGAGACCTCTGGCTACCTAAAATCTTATACTAAATTATTTAATTTTATTATACTCTAAGTAAATATAAGCTAAATATCTACTTCCCTTTTTTTTTTTTCCTGATGCCAGGGTCTTACTCTGTCATTAGGACAGATTACAGTGGCATAATCATAGCTTACTGCAACTTAAAAGTCCTAAGCTAAAGCAGTCCTCCTGTCTCAGCCTCCCAAGTAGTTGGAATCATAGGCACACACCACCAACCCTGGCTAATTTTTCTATGTTTTGTAGAGAAGCAGGGTCTCCCTCTTGCTCAGGTTGGTCTTGAACTTGTGGCTTCAAGTGATGCTCCCACCACAGCCTCTTAACACTTTGAGAGGTCTGCAGGTGTGAACCACAATGCCAGCCAAAAGGAATTCTTTTTAACATACAGTATACACCAACCCAGTGTTATTTCCAAGAAACACTAACTGAAAACTTGGTATTTCTACAATAGATGTATAACCTAACACTATGATTATTTATTAGACAAATACAGATTCTCTCCCCTGGTGAAAATTCTTTGAGGTTTTAGTGAGCCACACAGTCCTTTACTCTAGTTAGATAAAGATCACCAGAGGCACTTATTTAACCAACATTAAAACAAATTTTTTCTACTACAATCCAAGGGCTCCTGAGATAACTCTATTAGAAATCCTACCTTATTCAATTGCTATACTGTAATCATTATAAATACCTAAAATGGGCTTGGCGCCTGTGGCTCAAGTGGCTAAGGCACCAGCCACGTATACCCAAGGTGGCAGGTTCGAATCCAGCCTGGGCCCGCCAAACAACAATGACGGCTGCAACCAAAAAAAAATAGCCGGGC